GTGGAAATTTTATTTTATTTACTTTTAAGATACGTTATCTTTGAGAAAGTAAAAACCGAGCCCAAGATAAAATTCTAAAATTTATGTGATCACGATTTTGTTCACAGCAATGAAAAAAGTAACTGTTCAAGCCTGCGTGTCTTTTTTCACATTATTTATTTATTTATTTTTATTTATTTATTGTACCCTCAGAGCTTTACAGCATTGCAGAGGGGAGCGGGCACTGACGAACAATGTTAAAGAAAAGAATACATAGACAAGACACTAGAACATTATTAAACACTGGAAAGCAACTATTGTCAAGTGCAACTATGTTACACAGCCAGTAGAATATACAAGAAAACTAACAACAAAATCAAACGTTTACATTTCCAACACCAAGTATGTTATCGAGCGATGTTTTAAAACTGCAAGGCGAGGTGATGGATGCAACTGATTGTGGGAGGTAGTTCCAATCCTTGCAAGTTTTAGGCAGGAATGAGTGGGAATATGTTGATGTCTTGAAGCGAGGAACAGCAACTTTCTGCGCATGGTCAGTACGAGTTGAAATGTATGACGGTGGGGTTATTAAAATTGAACGTAGAAGGGTGTTGTTAAAACAGCTAAAATTGGGTTGTTGCTTTTTCAGAAATATTCAATGACAAAGAACATGTTATGCTCTGCTCATATAAAAGATCCCTGTGCTACTGTTTGCCGCATCAAAAACTTATGCTCTTTAAAGTTGCTTAAAAAGATAAGGCTTTGTATCTTTTCCAAAATACCACAGGGCTGTCACAACTCAGCAAAAGGTTGTTTAGTGCTCTGGAAAACGCACTCCAGCTCAACATTGAGAAAATGCAAAAATGCTATATCCTACATTACGGATTATTCATTGGATCACATACAGCTCCGAAGTTAACTAATGTTACCGGTTGCGCATGTGATTAACCTCCCTGCCTTTCATTTTTTCCCTACCTCCACCTGCTCTTTTTTGAACAATTTCTTGGCGAAGGCCATGAACAACTGCAAATTTACCATATTATCCAAAATATAACGTCACGTAGATGAATTTCAAGAATTTAGACACAGACGAAAAGGAGCATGAACAATTAGTGTTTCATGGTCAGATTACAATTCGGGCCTTTTGTAAGTGACAGATGCTAGCCTTCGAATTACCGGTACGAAGAGCTCTGCTAAAGCGTTTAGATCTAAAGTTCAGTTTGTCAAGCGCTCACAGCTGCTTGGCGTACAAAGCCACTTCATTAATTTTTTCTCGGTACAAAGGTCCATGAAATGACGTGCTTGCGGAACGTCTTAAAAAGAACTTCTTTTTACTCGACGACGAGTAGTTTTAGGAAACAAATCAACTGTCTTCGGGTAGATGTGTGTGCTCAGCATGCCCTACTATCCGTTATTATCAGTTTGCAAAAACAGTAAGGCAAATGAAAGGAACACCAAAGAAGAAGTAGATTGAAACATAAGAACTGAAAAATTGACTGTGATGACCCGTATCGTTGCTTTGTGCTTAATTCAAAACTAAAAAGGGAAATGCGTCATGTAGAAGTCATATTTGCTGCTTCCTAAAATTATAGGCAGTGTGTTCCAAAGTTGAACAAAACACGAAGGTAGTCTGAGCCGTATTTCAGGATGCAGGTAATTAATTGATTGATATGTGGGGCTAACGTCCCAAACCCATCATATGATTATGATAGAAGCCGTAGTGGAGGGTTCCGAAAATTTCGACCACCTGGAGTTCTTTGACGTGCACCCAAATGTGAGCACACGAGCCTACAACATTTCTGCCTCCATCAAAAATCAGCCTCCGCAGCCGGTGTATGATGCATGTACACTTATTTGTAAACTTTATTGAAGGCATTACGGATTCCATCTCGTCGACTGTAGAAGAAACTATATTCGACGAACAGAATTCCACCTGAAACCTCGACTACAAAATAACTCAAAATGTGCAGAAAGAAACTATTATGTTTGACCAATATATGAGCCTCCATACAGGTGTCATAAACAACCCGTAATTTTCAGTAAAACGCGGTAAAAGCTTATATTGCCATCGCTCATCACAACATAGCAATTGCAAAACTGTAGTCGGTTACACGATAGGAACAAATACAAGTGTCACCCAAAAAACTGTGGATAACCTACCATTCATCTAGAGACAGAGAAAGAGAAATTCATGCTACGTGGTTTTAATCAAAACCTTCGGTACTATTCGGCAGATAGATATACTACGCTCTGTAATAATGAAACTTTCGTCGTCTCTACTTTAGACATCCCTTTAAACAGAGCGTGATGCCCAAATCGTTGCTAAAATTGTGCAGGAAATCTACACTTACGACCTAAAACTATTGGCACCAACATGTGTGTGCATAGAAAACACGCCTATCTGAAAAACTCTAAACACTTTACGTATCACAGAACTCATTAAATAATAGAGTATCAAGTACTCAACAATGTTAATCACTTTTTCTAAACACACCATATGTGCAATTCCCGGGGGGTAGGAAAGCACAGATGCGGTTGTAGGTGGAGCTTACAACCGCAACCTAGGTGCTCCTAGGTAGTAAATGACTTACAACCGCAATAATTTGCTTCTAGTTGGTAAATGACTATAGTTGTTGGTTTGGAACAGGCCACCAATTGTAAAATGATCGTATATTACTATGCGTATTTAGTTTAGAACACGTGGTGGGTACATCAAAACTACAAGAGTATAACGCTCGTAATTGCTTCTGGTTTAAAGCTTGTCAACCATTACAATTGTCTCAGCATTACGAAAATCGCCTTGACTCATTAGAGATGCTATCATCATTAGAGACTGCCTGTCTGTCTTTTTTTCATTAACTGCACCATAAATGTCGTATGCTTTAGAAGTATTCTATGCCCTTGCCCCAAGGTATTTACGTCTCATTCTATTAGTAATGGTGCCAGGTCGTTAATAATAAATCCTCAATGAATATGTGGACGCACTTGCAGATACCTTACATAATGGTCCCATATTTTTTATATTGCGGACGATAGCATTTACCCCCTTGGCATTATTTGAAAAACTGTGCCCCAACGAATTGTCTTAAGAAGTCTTGCTTGGCAACATCTGAGTTTTTTTTTCATCTAAATTACCCTTGAAAAAATTGATAGTGCAGTAGTAAAAGGGCGTAAATATCAATTACGCAACAACGATACTGAGTAACCCACTGATGTTTCACCTACACAAGTCTAGCCTGGTACAGTTAACCCTATGCCTCCACTGCAACGACAGTGAATTTCTGCGTCATTTTCTGTAAACACACAGGCGAATTGCAAATCACAGGAAAAGGCTGTTAGAAGAACCTCTTCATAGATTAGCTTAAAATTTGTCCCTTCCGATGGTTCTTTCAATGGAGCAAACAAAAAGTGCTTTAGCCAAAGGAAAGTTTGCGAAGCCCTATGTGATTTCCAAAGTAAAACGAAACGAATACCATGTCAGGCTTAAGCATGAATTTACATTATTTTCAACAACAAAAAAGAACCCTACCCAAGCAAGGTCGGCTCATAAAATATTTCTATTTCTAAGATAAGGTACCGTCCGTGTCATGGCCGATCTCCCGTAGTGGGTTAAGCCAGGCTTGTAAGGGCCAACCAACCAACCAACCGTTACAAAAAGCAAAAACATTTGTGCGCGCATTTTCTTGCAGATACCTGGTTGATAAAATGTGATCATTATAGCTTTGACAATAGTCTTAGCCCCACACTGATATTCCTTGCCAGCATCCCAGGCGAGTCATCGGCACCGTCATATAGAGGTGAGACACGGACACCAGCACCGCAGTATACGTCCCATATTACAAACCGAAAGTTTGGAAAACACGCATCGAGGGCCCGAAATTCAGAGATGAACAGAGTGTGTCGTGTCGGCGTTCGTTAGTGTCATGGTGCGGTATTAGAACTCACCGCTCCGATAAGATGCCACCTCAACAAACAACATCACTGTGAAATAACGACTGTCAAAAGCTAGACGTATTAGCGTTGAGGACGTAGTGGGAAGAGACCCAGCTCCTGTATATACCTTTGCAGAGAAGACATCATCAAATCCCTATCCAGCTAAGTAAAGTTTTCTTTTTGGCTTTTTTTCTTTTTAACCTTTTCGTGTGCATTTTACGACATGACATCCTCGATGACAATAGCTTCAGCGTAGTTTTGGATTCTTGTTAAACCCTGGCAAAAACAACTTCGTGTCAAAAAGCTCTCGGACTCTTCAACATCACCAGAGAAATAGGTGGCTTCGCTTCGTTTATAAGTCGATATCTCGATCGTGTCGGAATGAAAGATCGTCTCAACTGGTAACATCAGCCACTTCGAAGAATCATCGCTGCCTAAAAGAAATCGAATTGCCAACTGGTCCCCATGCTACAAATCTAGTAAGAAGCAGTGGGAAGCAGACCTCCCCGGGAATGCAGTCCGTGCTCTCGGATAAAGTCCTGTGGGCGGCTAAAAGCAGCGAAGCTCTAATAAAGGGTCCAAACCATAAAAGTTCTAACATTTCCCCTCTGGAGCGAAATATGGAGTGTACAGCAAGGACATGGTCTCACACTGGTTTTCAGTTGTTCAAGGAGATCATGTATAAATTATTTTCTGTTTACAAAAAAAGACTGCCGGTACTTCTCTTGAATTATCACCGAATTATTCACATGATCAAGTTTTATATAAAACGAAGAGTCATAGACACGTGCGTATTTAATTATGTATTGGTCATAAATGTTCTGCGACAATAGTATCCTAGGTTCTTATAGCCTTTAAGCCAAAGTTGTGAAAATCGCATCATTTGAAAGTTTGGGTCTGTCTGTCAGTAAAGTTCCTTGTAAAGAAAAAAATCACATGTCCTTTCGTTATGTGTCAGACAGCAGAGTTGACAGTCTTGTGCAGTTTTTGATAGCTTGCGTAAAAAACTGCCTTTTTATGCTTTTGCCGCACTCTCATCGGCCTTTATATACACTGACAAAAGCTTAGTTTTCAAGTGAAAGTTTTAAGGAAAATACGAAATGAGGCAACTGCGTGATCTTACCGGTGTTTTTTTGTTCTTGATGTCAACGATACTGGTACGAGGCGAAAAGCAAAGCGAACAAGATATCGTTCAGGTACGCAGCAAGAATTTGCATTTATAATCACGCATAATTTAAAGGTCTGTCATTCTTTGATATGTATGCTTAATATTGCTCATTCGCTCATTTGGACACTCTTGCTTCGCCAGAACGCGTGAAGGTACGGTTCAATGAAAGACGCCGACAAGTCACATATAAACATGGCGACTTGGCCTGGCTTTGGATTGCAGTGAGGAAACGTGCACTATGCGAAAAACTGCTGGCGCACTATGTTGGACCATATGTCGTCGCCGTCCACATAAGCCATGTGACTAACCACGTTGGTCACCTTCAGGAGAATGACTCACTGTTCGAGGTCAACAGCACGAAAAACGAAGACTGAGAAATAAGAAAACACAAGACGAGCTCTGACACCAAACAGTGCTCGTCTTGATGATGATGATGATGATCCTTGATACCCTGGCGCACACTCACAAAGGGGGATTGGCCAAGAACCCGGCTGCAGGATCTTAACTAAAAGGCTTATGGTTTTTCAAACACAACGTAAATTTAGGCTGAAAAAAATATATAGAAAGAAAAGCCGAAAATCGAAAAGGGAGTATATCTGAGCAGGGAGCGATGCAGGCTATCAGATGCTATTTGAGACAGAGGTAATGGTGGGTCTAAAATGATTATATATATATATATATATATATATATATATATATATATATATATATATATATATATATATATATATACAGGCATGGTGGTTGAGTGGCCGTAGCGTTGAATATAGTCCAGTAGATCCTCCGTGAGCGGTCACAGCGTGGTTTATTTCGACGTTTCGGCCTAGAGTCTGGCCTTCATCAGGAATAAAGATACAGTTTGTTGGTGCTCAGCTTTATACAATCTGAAATCAGAGGGCAAGGAAAGAGGGGAAAACAAGGAAAAAAAGGAAAAGAAAAAAAGGAAAGGAAAAAAGAAAAAAGAGAAAAAATAATATAAACTGTATCTTTATTCCTGATGAAGGCCAGACTCTAGGCCTAAACGTCGAAATAAACCACGTTGTGACCGCTCACGGAGGATCTACTGGACTATATATATATATATATATATATATATATATATATATATATATATATATATATATATATATATATATATATATATATATATATATATATATATATATATATTATGACGACTCGGTTGTAGCGAGGTTTATTGGCCGTGAACTCGGGAACGAACAAGCGCAACGGACCCGACAAAGAAGCGCTCGTGCCAAGCAGATGATGATTGTCAGCCAGAACATATGATGATGATTGACTGCTGTTCAGATGAGGATGAAGCGCATAATAGATGCCTACACTGATTCCCCTCCCGTGGAAGCGGCCAGCCTGGCCGCTGCGGGCGGGTAGTCAAGGTGACGAGGAACGTCGTGTGAAAAGCTTCATGCGGGAAACGTGTACAATTTCGGTGCTGCGGTAACGGTGGTCAGTTGGCACGACAAGAGGCGTCACACGATAGTTGACAGGTGAAGTCTGCTCTAAAACAACATATGGGCCGATGAATCGAGGTTGGAACTTGTCGCAGAGACCAAGTGCGCGAATTGGTGTCAATAGCAGCACCTCGTCACCCGGTCGGAATGATACCACACGATGAGAGGTGTCGTAGACGGCCTTCCTTGCTTGTTGCGTAGCTTCCGTGTTCATACGAGCGCGCTGGCGGCACTGGGCAAGGCGAGAAATATATTCTTCGCAAGAAGATGGTGATGTAGGGCCATTGCTGGTGAAGAAGGAAACATCGATAAAGAAAGTAGGTGAACGTCCGTAAACGAGATAAAACGGTGAGTAGCCCGTTGTGCGCTGAACAGCGGTGTTGTAGGCGAAAGTGAGGAACGGTAGAAGTTTATCCCAGTTTCTGTGATCTGGTTGAATGTATACGGCGATCATGTCGGCAAGGGTTCGATGAAATCTCTCGGTCAGACCATTTGTTTGAGGATGGTAGCTAGACGCCATCTTGTGTGTGGTACCAGAAACGCGAAGAACTTCACCTAAAAGCCGTGATAAGAACACCTTTCCACGGTCACTCAGAAGTACACGAGGTGCACCATGACGTAGTATTATGGCCTGAAGGACGAAGTCAGCAGCAACTTCCGATGCTGAACCAGTAGCTACAGAAGTTGTCTCGGTGTAGCGTGTCATATGGTCTACGGTGGTGACTATCCATCTATTTCCAGCACCAGTAACAGGAAGGGGTCCATAAAGATCGACACCGACGACCTCGAAAGGTGTTGTAGGGCACGTCATTGGCTGTAACTGACCAGCCGGGGGAGATGTCGGAAGTTTGCGAAGTTGGCATGGAGAGCAGGAACCCACGTACTTTGCTACGCTGGTAGAAATCCCAGGCCAATAAAAGCGGCTTCGAATGCGGTCGTAGGTTTTGTGAAAGCCTAGGTGGCCAGCAGTCAAATCGTCATGAAAGGCGTTAAGTACATGATGTTGAAGAGCGCGTGGCAGAACAGGTACCCAGCGTGTGCCGTCAGGATGATATATGTGACGATACAGCACACCGTCCTGGAACTTGAAGTGCTCGAGTTGTCGACGAAGGCGTGCATTGGGTGGACGCGTAGCTCCTGAAAGGTGGTCTATAATGCGTCGACAATACGGGTCAGCCTGCTGGTGAGAACTGAAGGGTTGTTCATCGTCGATTGGCGGTTGGTACAGCGAGGCGAGCAAGGCAACAGAAGTGGGAGTCACGTCCGCACTGGTGTCGTTGGAGGTGGCAGCTGGAGTGTCGAACGACGCTGTAGGTAGTGGGCAACGAGAAAGAGCGTCGGCGTCTTGATGTTTTTTGCCCGATTTATAAATAATCTCAAACTGATACTCCTGTAGGCGTAAAATCCAACGGCCCAAGCGTCCGGACAAGTTCTTCATTGTAGAAAGCCAGCATAAGGCGTGGTGGTCCGTTACGATGGTGAATTGACGGCCGTACAGATAAAGACGGAACTTTTGTATGGACCAAACCACAGCGAGGCACTCCTGCTCCGTGATGGTATAGTTTTTTTCGGTAGAAGTTAGCACTCGGCTAGCATATGCGATGACCCTTTCCCGTCCAGAGTTATCGCGTTGGAGGAGAACAGCACCTATACCGCAGCCGCTGGCGTCAGTATGCCGGAGTGTTGGGGCGGTGTCATCAAAATGGCAGAGTACATGTTCTGACGTCAAAGCTTTCTTCAATAGGTGAAATGCCGACTGACATACCTCGGACCACACAAAGGGTGCATTAGATGCAAGTAGTTTGTGAAGTGGCGCAGCTATTGAAGCGAAATTTTGTATGAAGCGACGAAAATATGATGCGAGGCCAAGAAAACTTCGCAAATCCTTAAGTCTTGTGGGGCATGGAAATCGAAGGACGGCAGCGATCTTTTCGGGGTCAGGGCGAATACCGTCCTTGCTGACGACATGACCGAGAACCTTGATGAATTTGGTGGCGAAACGGCACTTCTTAGTGTTGAGCTGCAGACCCGCACCGGCGAGGCATGTTAGGACGTCATCCGAGCGGCTCAGATGCTGAGAAAACGTTGATCAAAAGATGATAATGTCATCAAGGTAGCAGAGACACGTCTTCCATTTCAGACCACGCAGGACGGTGTCGATCATGCGTTCAAAGGTCGCGGGCGCATTGCAGAGGCCGAAAGGCATCACGTTAAATTCGTATAGGCCATCGGGGGTTGCAAATGCCGTTTTTTCTTTGTCGTCATCGTGCATGGGAATTTGCCAATATCCCGAACGCAAATCAAGGCTTGAAAAGTATTCGGCGCCTTGCAGTGAATCAAGGGCGTCGTCGATGCGTGGCATGGGGTATACGTCCTTGCGTGTGATGTTGTTAAGTGCCCGGTAATCAACGCAAAAACGCACGGAGCCATCTTTTTTCCGTACCAAAACAACAGGGGATGACCAAGGGCTAGTTGATGGACGAATTATTTCTCGTTGGAGCATGTCAGCGACGTTTTCCTCGATGATTTTTCGCTCAGCGAGAGGCACGCGGTACGGGCGGCGAAGTACAATAGATGTTCCCTCCGTCTGAATGGATGCGCTGCAGTGGTAGTTCGGCCCAACGTTGAAGAGCAGGTGTCGAAAGAATCGGCGTGTTTCGTTAATAACGCAAGCAACTGCTGCGCCTGCATAGCTGTTAAGTCATCACTGATAAGAGCTGTGAAGGGAGAGGATGAGGCAGGCTTACTCATAGAACGGTCGTTGGTAGAGGCAGGGGTAAGTGGCGTGACGCTGACAGGCTCAGCATCCACAAAACAGGCTACTGCAGTGCCCTCTGGCAGGAGAACTTTCTCTGGCGTTTCATTCGTAGCAATGACGAGCGCGGAGCCATGGTGAAAGCGTACTACACCTGATGCAAGGGCTATGCCTTTTGCGACGCAAGTCGACGAAGGGGACACCAAGACGTCACCGTGGTCGATGTCCTTAGAGATCAGGGTCACAATTCGTTCTTGGTGTGGCGGTAGTTCGAGATCTTCGCGAGCGAACAGGCGTAGAGGCTTGTAGACGCCTTCGTCGAACATGGAGTCCGTATTAGTAAGGTGCAGAATCCGTTCACCACAACATATAGCGGCTGAAGAAGAAGATAGGAAGTCCCACCCTAGAATTAGCTGGTGAGAGCACCGGGTAAGCACAGTGAACTCGATGTAATTCAAAATGACATCAATAAACACACGAGCAGTAAAAAGAGCAAAAGGGCGGATAGCGTTCCCCTGGGCTTCAACTAGATTGGGTTCATTATAAGGTGTCATTACTTTCTTCAGGCGTTTGCACAAATCATACCTAATCACAGAAACTGTAGCACCGGTGTCCACCAAAGCGTCCACGAGAACTCCTTCCACCGTAACAGAAACCATGTTGAACGGGCGTGCTGGAGGAATATGAGTCCCACTGTTACATGCAGTTTCTCCTCCGAAAACTGCATCATTTAGTTTTCCGACCAGTTATCAGTAGTAAACGAGGCTGGCCGAAGAGGAGAGGAGGAGCGATGGAAGGGCG